CCCGCCCCCCCCACGCTACCCCCCCCCCCCTCCCCCCCCCCCCTCCCCCCCCCCCCCCCGCCGCTGCTGCTGCGCATGCCTTTCACTTGCTGGCTGTGTTTGTAGAGGAATACCAGGATGATCAGACTGGCCAGAGCCATGAGGGCCATGGGCACCACATCTCTGCCCACCTGAGCTGAGCCGTTGGCCTCTTTAGACTCCTTTGAGGGAAAGTTCACGTAGCAGAATTGTACATTAATACCATGTTGCACGGAGCTGGAGTTGAGCTGTCTGCTAGCAGAGAAGACAACAGACGCTGAGCTCATGGTGGTGTTGATGAGCCAGATAACTAAGAACACTATCCACAAATATTGGCCCATGAGCCGATGGGCGGAGGCCCACCGCGACCCAGGTGGCGCGATGCTCAGGCACTGGTAGGCACTGAGAACAAAGGTGAGCCAAATGGAGAGGGAGCGGGAGGTCCTGTACACAAAAATGATGGATTTACAGCCAACATCGTCAAAGATTGCTGGCAGGTGGAAGGAGGCAAGGGTCTCCAGCAGGCAGCGCACAGCCACCACCAACAGGTTTGCACAGGCCAGATGCAAGACAATGGCATCAGCTGGGAGGAGCCGGTTCTCCTTGTGCAGGAGCAGGAGGAATGCCAGGATGACAGCAGAGTTACCTGGGACTCCAACGACAGTGAGTGACAGATAGAGCATTCCACGTAGGAATAATTCTGAGGGCATTCCTACAGGGTCAGAAAAAAAGAACAAAACGTCATTAATCTATAAATTAAGCAATAACATACTGAATCACAATCATTTATGAACTTGTATTAGACAAAAAGCTCCTGCTCTCACCTAAAAACAGTCCAAGCAGTCAAGGTTTGGACCTGACCTCGTCTGTGATCACTCTATCCTGAAATGAAGAGTGATGAGTAGAAGGACAGGAGCTGCTGTTCTTCTAATAGTTGCAAACATGCAGTGGTTGTTATATGTGTTTTTTATGGTCTGTTGACTTTTCTTCCCTCAGTCTCCAATTACCTGAGATCAATCCAGATGACTGCTTCTGTCCCCTCACTGGGTTTCAGACAGACATGTGAGTTCAGCAAATTGTGTTGCCTTCACTGACAGGGTGCACAGACTTTGGGTTTAATGGATTTAATTAGTGGGTAACAGCTATTGATGTCTAACTAACACAAGTCCTGAAGTCAGTTTTTCTTCCATTATTATTTTTCTGAAATGAAGTGTATACAAAGTTTATGAAAGAGTTTAAAGTTCCATCACATTTAGAAGGAAGGGTAAGGTGAGCTGAGGTGAGGGGTAATAACCATGATTATCAAAGTGATGATTGTCTATGACAGAGGTCACCGACCTTTCTGAAACTGAGAGCTATTTCAAGGGCACTTACTAATACGAAGAACTACTGGTTTGATACAGACTTCCAGGACAATGTGATAATCATCAGTTCCAGGACATACAACAGTAGACACTCTTCTTACCATCATCAATGGACCCATTAGAATATAATTGAAAGTGTAACTGATTCAAAAAGCACAGTAACAGTAAAAATCTACCTTAGTGCCATCGAGCCCCATGTTGGTGACCCCTGGTCTATGACTTTTCTTTGCAAGGTGATGGAAGGATGGTGCTTCTACCCACCCTCACATTGTCATAGATGGATTTATAATAATAATAATTATTATTATTATTTTAGTTTTACTTTTCTGCTGTTTTTGAATGTTTGTTTAGGTTTAAGGTTAGGGTTAAATTAGAGTTAGGGTTACAGTAGGATTAGGGTTGGGGTTGAGCAAAATGAACATACATAAGATTTATCATGACATCAATACAAAGAACAAGACAAAAAACAGTTTTGTAATTTTGAAAATACAAAATTAATTCAAAGTGAAAAAGTGCATTCTTCACAAATACAAAAAAATTACATGGTCTTCAGTCATCCTAGAATGTCACCCCCCTGCTCATGTGAGAAGCTATGGGTAACCAGTGTAGCACTGGTTACCCATAGCTGCCCACATCAAATTCAAATGACCATTAATAGCCAAAGAGCATTTAATAGGTCTGCTCCTACCGACTTAAGTACTCTGATAAAGCCTTATGTTGCCTCACGATCTCTCCACTCGTCTGAGGAATGACAGCACTATAATCTCAAGCAAATAAGTACATTTTTAGTCATGTTTGTGAAATCTTTATTTTTCATATTGCTGTCATGTAGCAAAAACTTATTTATATATTTTTTATTTTAACCATAAAAAGGACATAGCCCTGTATTTTATAGCAAATTAGTTCATTTTTATAAATTATTGAGACACTTGTTTTTTAAAGATTTTTTCAGCAAATTATTACTATAGTATGTTACTGTTTATTACATACCAAAAAACTGACATTTTAGATGAATTTGCATTAGGCCAGTGTATATCCCTGATATTACAACAAAGTCTACAAAAGCATATTCTGCTTTAAATATTCTTCCTCATCATGTACATTCAAATGTATGGTACACACTTAGGATATGTTTAGAGTTCTTGTGTTTATGAGTTTTACTTTAATAAGTCAACAGAAGGCATAAAGTGCTTTGACTTTGTGATAATGTCATTACTATCATAATTGAATCAGAGGTTGTAAAATTACAATACGAATGAGCGAAACATGGGAGAAAAACAATTTACACCTGCTATTAAAACAAAAGCAAACAGCAAAACAGTATCAGGGGAAGGAGTCTGCTTAAAAACATGGTGTGTGAGGCACATGATGACATCCCCCGAGGAGGACCTGTTCGAACTTGCTACTTTAATTAGCTTTTTGAAAGTGTAAACCTGTGTCCAAAAACACAGAGGGAAACAACAAATCTCCTGATAGTCATTTGCAGACTCTATTCCTGTGAGAAATCACACATCTCAAACAATGCGGAACACAATTTGAAGCACGTTTCTGAGGAAATAGCAGGTAATTTATCAACATGGGTAAATGGAGCCTTTGCTCTGTGATATACTAAACATTTATAGTCTCTGCATAACCAGGCAGTGTGCATATGTCGACAGGGAGAAGTAAAACATACATGTATAATAGCGCTTTGTCCCTACACTCCCAATTAGTGCAGACAGGTAATGTTATACAGCTAATTGTCCTGCTCCTCTGTGTCTATTACTGTGCTCTCAGGACATGAAGCAGTGCACGGGGCACCAGCTGTACAAGTAAAACCCTCTTGATGACTCATTGTCGGCATCATCAGGCTCAATTTGCATCAATATTAACCACACACTGTTACCATCATAAGGGTTGTGTTGTTTTTTTCTTCTTCTTCTTCTGTTTCCACAGGGAGACAGGATCAGAGTATTTCAGAAGATTGACATTGACACCCCTCTGTTTCCAAAAAAGAGAAATTCTAACAAATAAATTAAACATCAGGGAATGAACATTCAAATGTTAATTTTATTACCTGGGGGAGCGCAATAACATTTTTTATGGCAATCAACAAATAAAAATTAAAGCTGAAATTGCGTCTTCATTAACAGCTTGGAAAATCATGAATAATAATAGAAAGGGTGGATGATTTGTAGACTTTTAAACTTGAATGCCTTGTAGATGTAAGTCTGGAGGCAACAATAAAGCAGAGGATTCATTTAAATTATTTAGAAAGTACTGATTTGTAAAATCTACATATGTGATGTTGTACCATGTATACCATAGATAACAAATTGATAACTTATAAAAGGACTATGGATTTTGTTCATCATTCTTGGAAAAAAAACATTAAACTATTTTTCATTTTTTTTACAAAAGAACAAGGGACAGTGCAAATTCAGCCGGAGTATCTAACTTTGTTTTTATATTTGATTTGAAGTTCATGTTTTCTTGTTGTAATCCCCTGCTGTGGAAACCCTTTGAGAGCATCTTAAATTTATTGTGTTGTCTTTATTCTCCAAACAGGGCTGAACACTACATTGTTGACCAGTGACCCCAAGAGGCTGAGAAATTATAAAATGTAGTTGCACAGGTTAATGCACAACAGGCTTAAGCTTATATGTAATCAGGTGAGCAACATTTTAGGGGCTCCGAAGATGTTATAATCCTGCTGTATTGTACGTTACTTTGCCAATATTTTTTTAATTTCTTTGGCTTGAAGTGTGTCTTTAACAAAGTTGATTGTCTGTCTGCTTTGTAAATCACATTCAGTGCAGGTTGTGCTGTCATGGATCTGTGTGTGACCATCAAAGGGGTCTCCTTCCTCTTGCAAACAGGTATGGGCATCTTGGGGAACTGTGTGGTGCTGCTGGCATACGGCCACATCATTTATACAGAACCCAAACTCCTTCCTGTGGACATGATCCTGTGCCACCTGGCCTTTGCCAACCTGATGCTGCTGCTGACTCGCTGCGTCCCTCAGACCATGACTGTGTTTGGGCTAAAGGACCTTCTGAATGACCCCGGCTGTAAGGTTGTGATCTACGCCTATCGCATCGGCCGGGCTTTGTCTGTGTGCATCACGTGTATGCTCAGTGTGTTTCAGGCGGCGACTATTGCTCCAGGGGGGCCACTTTTGTCCAGGTTGAAGCCTTCACTTCCATCCCTTGTTGTCCCCACCTTTGCAGGGCTGTGGTTCATTAACATGGCCATATGCATTGCTGCACCTTTTTTCTCTATGGCTCCACGTAACGGCACTGTCCCGGCTTTTACTCTCAACCTGGGCTTCTGTCACGTGGACTTTAGAGACAACCTGTCCTATGTGATCAATGGAATCGCTGTCTCATTTAGGGACTTTGCCTTTGTGGCCTTGATGTTGGCCTCTAGCATCTACATTCTTGTGCTTCTCCATCGCCACAGCCGCCAGGTGAGAGGGATGCGCCGTTCTCATGGCGGTGAGACAAGGGCTGCCAAAACTGTAGTGACCCTCGTCGTGCTGTATGTGGTCTTCTTTGGGATTGACAATGTGATCTGGATCTATATGTTGACCGTGGCTAAGGTCTCACCTGTGGTGGCTGATATGCGGGTGTTCTTCTCCTCCTGCTATGCCTCACTCAGTCCATACTTCATTATTTCTTCCAACAAGAAGGTCAAGGCAAAGATCATATGTACATCTGAGCAGGACCAGCCTTTGGCAGAACCTCAGGAGACAAATGTTAAATGATTATTTATATATATATATATATATCTTCACAGGTGGTCATGCACAGTATCATATAGATCTTTAGGCTAACCTTGTCTAGATTTTGGCAGATATATTAATCTACATCCAACCTGAAGCTATTTCTAAAACAACTTTTTGTTTAAGGCTAACAATGGATTTCATTTAACTGCATTACCAAACAAACAAAACTAATTTGCAATGCACTTAATAAAGTTCTTAGAAAGTAATAAATGTGTAATTGACTTTATTGTAGCCTTCAGCACCACTGAAGGAACATTTGGACATTTAATGTTCGTTTATAGAATTCTTCGCCCGAGAGAAAAGTTGAACGCCCCTGTTTTCAGACGCGGGTTATTGTGTTCTTCGAATTACCTTACAGGCAAAATTAAAGATCTAAATAACATTCAATTCGCGTTTAATTTCTAAACTTAAAAAAATCAGTTTACTTAATAAACGACAAAATGTTTATCTGTTTTGAATTTTATATACGATAAAAGGAGAACAGACAAAGACGCGATTTTGCCTGACAGACATAACTCGGGAATTAAAGAGACCCACGTCTAGAACAACAATCCCCGGAAAAGCGGAAGCGGAAGAAATCCGTAGTTACAGTCTCTGTACTACTAAAGTTGCAGAATTGATTGTTTTCTTTAGTTTTAACAAGGCACTAATTTAGTTCAACAGCAATTTCTTCACGTTTAAAAAAGGAGACAGTTAAAGGTAGTGTTTACAGTTTAAACTGTAGTCTGATCCCAGTCTAACCACAACTGTAGCTCACCATAAACAGACATCAGATATACATAGATGGCCGAAACAGTTTTTAACGCTATGGATGTTTTTTTTATTTGCAGAAGGTTTTCGCGAAATCTAGAACGTTTTTAACGTTTGAAATGTTTTTCAACGTTTTTTTCTAAATCACCCCCTCTTCCTGTCTCTCAGGTAAGTTGTCCTTGTTGGCTTACTACCAGCTCAATTTCAGATTTCTTTATTCATTTTTGTGGCTCTCTCGTGTGTTTTGTTCTGTAATCAGGTGTATTGCGGCCACTGTTTGTTAAACAGTTGTGGTTTGATGCCAGCCCCTCCTCTACCTCTTCCTCCCCTCCTGGCTTTGGCGTTGCTTGAGAAATGACCTGACTTCCAGTTTTCTAGATCCAAATTCACCTAAAAATGGCAGGAATAGCCTGGTACCAAGAGAAGGTATGACTGCCATCTCATACATTTATCCAATAAATGCCCTATAGTAAAACTGCTGTATTTGAGTTGATTTTACATGGGATTGGCACCTAGCCCTATCAAAGAAGGTTCAATTGGTGATTGTGACCAAAGATTGTAAGGATGATTCTTGACTAATATATCAAAACCTTTTTTTAGCCCAAGGAAATATTGCTATATTTTCCATTTTGACTGCTACTTAACTTCAAGTGTCTCTCCAAGTTGTCGGCTGTGAGAGTATTATCTAATGACAAACAAATACACAGTACACAATCTTATGGCTCAATCATTTTCATCATCTATGGTCTGTGTTTTTTATAACTTCAAAGCATGAATTAGGAGCAGTTGGTTAGTTTTCCAGAATTTTTTTAACCATTTACATGTGTTTGAAAACCCTAAACCTACCTATTATAATATAAAAATAAACCTAATGCTCTGTAAATAAAAACTACTTTGCTGTAAAATTAAATATTTCTGAAGATTAAAGATTTCTGATCCTTTCAGATTGGTGCCTATGATCAACAAGTCTGGGAGAAATCACTGGAGAAGGCAAATCTAAACGTAAGCATACTGGATAAAATAATGACTAAAAAGTGTTAATGTTGTTTCTATTGTGAGTCGCAACTAAATATAAGTGAATATATTTCATTCATCCAGGGTTTGGACAGCAAACCCAAGAAAACAGGCTATATAAAGGCGGACCTTATTGATGTAGACTTAGTAAGAGGTAATGTAATTTGCCAGTCCACTATTCTATGTGTGTGTATGTGTATATACAGTATTCATAAAATATAATAGTATATATATATATATATATATATATATACTGTATGTATACTATAATATTTTATATACATATATTTATGTATGTATATTTACTTTTATATTTTTTATATTTATAACTTATTTCATCAGGATCCACATTCAGCAAAGCTAAACCAGAGAGTCCGTGGACAGCTCTCACTCGCAAGGGTCTGGTCCGAGTTTTGCTATTCCCGTTTTTCTTCCACTGGTGGATCCAGGTGACCTCCAAGTCCGTCTCCTTATGTATCTTTGTCCTCTACTTCCTGCAAGGTTAGTGTCAACTGTGTCCAATTCATTTGGTTTACAACCTGATTCTAAAGATGACCTTTAATAAGTTATTATGTTATTATTAGTTTGGAATATATTTAGATTCATCCTAAAGAGTTAAGCTGATGGTTTTCCTTGTGGTGTAGTTCATTTTCACATACACCTGAGGATAGAAAAATCTCATTAGTGAGTATTGTGTTATAATGTCTCCCCTAAGAGACCATTTTGTTTGCTTTTGCCAAATGCTGTACTTCCCACAGTGGCAGCCGTGCTGCTGTATATGGAGGTCCCTCGGGCCACTGCGAGTGAGGTGTTTGGACCCGTTTGTCTGATGCTGCTGCTGGGCACCGTGCACTGCCAGATTGTATCGACCCTGTCCAGCCGCTGGCCCTCAGGCAATCCAGCTGCCAACAGCACCCCCAGCCCAGTGCGCAGAAGAAGGTAGTTTGCTCATTTGTAGGCACAACATGAATTATGCTAACAGTCACTGTACCTGTGGCCTGCAGTAACATTTTGCACTCCTGAATCTAGTGTCATCTAACTTTCCTTTCCGCTGCTTCCATCAGGCCCAGGAAAGGCAGAGGGCATAAAAAATCTGAGGAAAGAAATGACAAATGTGACACACTGACCCAGGAACAGTTTGAAGAAAGTGATCAGTTATACAAGGATGGAGAAAGAAAGGTATGACATTTTTAGTGAATGTATGTAAGTCCATAGTCTGGGTGAAACTTCTCTATTTGAGCACGAGAAACCTCAAAAGTTAAAACTTTTTCAATTTCAAGATACTTTTCTGGACCATTGAATCTATAGTTAACATTTGTGCCTGGGGCATGTATAACAGAAATACACATTACACAGAAAGGTTGGAATGAAACTTAACTTTTTTTTTTTTTTAAATAGCTAAAACCGGTCCATGCAGTGATTACCAGCAGAGAACGGTCCGCTCCAGGGAGGGTAATTATATTCATGGACCAGGTTTTATATAATTCCATTTTAACTATAGTCACATCTTCGGCTCCTAAGGGCTAAAGTGTTATTTTTACACCTCTCGGCTTTAACTGCTGCTGAAACAAACTTATGAGCGCACAGCTGATATATTCTGCTTATCACAGGTGCAGGGTTTAGATTAGACTGGAGATGGTCCATTAAAATAATGACTGTTTAAAGGTTTTTAAAAACAAGCACAACATATGGCAGCTGTTGATGCCTGGGCTTGATCACATCCTTAATTTTCTCCAGAGTGATCTTGTAAAAGTGCAAGATCAATTTTACCTAAACATCTGGTTCATTAATAACACAAAAATGAGTCCAAACAGACTTCATCTTTACGGTGATTAATGGTCCTTCATAAACATAATTTGAGCCTTTTTTATGTAGTTACTGTATTGTTTACTCTCAAACACTTTAAGGAATTAAAGAATGTAAAGCAGAACAGTAACGTAATTGCCATTCTGCCAAAGCAAGATAAGATAATTTATAAGTAAAACAAAAGGTTTGATTTATTTTATCTTAATGTGTTTGTTGTAGGACAAAAGAAAGTCTGGTTTCGGGGCATCTGATGAGTTCTCCAGTGAAGAAGAGGGGGGAGTACAAGCAGTGGAAAAAATCAGCTCATCAGCTTCTTCAGAAAGATTGACCACAACACCCTGGCTAACATCTGAGACTTCTGTCAGGAAAAGAATCCTGAAGTCCAACTCAAAACACACGGTAAGTCCTCAGGTCTTAGTAATGATCTTTTTCAATATTTACCAAGCGGTAATTAAAAGCTGGCACCGTCTGCTTGGAGAGCAGGAGGTCATTGGAGCATCTGTGAGGGTGAAGCCTCGAGAGGTGGACCGTCTCAGGCCTAGCATAGGCTCTCGTCCTGCCTCCGACACAGATGACACGATGTGGGAGGAGCTTCTCCAAGGTCCCGACTCCCCATCCACTGGCAGCACAGACAGTGAGGGGAACGGGAGGTACAACGCCCCCTTGCCCCTCCCGCAAACCACCACTCAGAGCAGTGATGACGACACCCTGCAGCAGGGAATCACTGGAGTAAGAACATCAGAAAACTTTGAACTTTTTGTTGTTTCTCTAGTTTTGAAAAAAGAAAAAAAGATTTCAGTTTAAAGCATCTTGTCTGTCCTGTTTAATTTTCAGAGCCAGCTTTCCTGGCTTCAGGCTTGTCATCCGTCCAAGGACCGTGTTAGTGCCATCATATGGGAGCAGGGCGAGTGTAAGAAAGCTGACATGTCAGTGCTGGAGATCAGTGGGATCATCCTCACACGGGTACACAGTTTGTTGTTCTTTGTTTGTCTGGGTGAAGCTCACAGTTGTAGACTCTTAAACAAGTCCCCACACACAGAACTGTTCTTTACTCAGTGTTGTAGAATTCCTGATTCAGAGAACAGGTCCCTGAACTCGAATTGTCCACTTCATTTAAACTATACTACTGAGTTAGCGGTCAGTTACAGGCTTTCAGTAATATGTTGCAAAACTTGCTCCTAAAATTGCCAAAATAATCTGGGGAACCACAGAAAGAACATTAACGTTTCCAACAGACACTGAACAAAGCATGGGTGTGTAGTGCTTCTTTATTATACATTGTGGCTTGAGCTAATTATTAGATCTAAATATCTTAATTAATTTAATTTAAAGGAATAAATTATCTTTTCCACAAACTGTTCTTAGCGAAAGACTGCAGTCCAATGCTGTTGTCTTTTAATGTTGGTCATACTGGTGGTACCTGAAGAGACAAATATATTCAGGGGGTACAGTGTGAAAACAACAACAACAAAACAGTTGGTCAAAACAGTTGAGCTGTTTTGACCAACCTAATCCAAAATTTGGACCCTATTTTGACATCACAAATTTCAGGTGGCCCCAGAGACATTTTCGTATCCCTCATTTGTGAAGTCACGTGATCGTTTTTATTTTAACTTTATGTTCATGAAAGTGAAATTTGCATACGGTGTTTTCAATCATAATTTTAAAACGAATAAAAGTATTTTAAAAAAATATTTTTTATCATCAATCATAATTTTAAAACGAATAAAAGAAAAGTATTTAAAAAAATATTTTTATCATTTTTTTATCAATTACTGGACATTTCAGATGACTACCATTTCCACACGACCACACGTGGGGTCGTAGCCCCTAGGTTGTTGTTTGTTAATGTGTTCATGTTTGATTCACAGGTGAAGTTGGTGGAGCAGGGTGTGGGCTACCTCATGCTTAGTGGTCTCATGACTGCTACCCTGGCACTGCTCCCCTTCACTTTCCGCTTTGCACAGCACGTGGACATGTCGAGCCTCAGCTCCCTGACTCTGATGGAGGTGGTGAAAATGGTGGTTGGACCACCTGATGTCCAGACCTATGTATTCTTCTTCATCACCGCTGTGTTACGAGTCTGCCTCACTGGACTGTTCTTCTTTATGATGTGCGTGGCTGAGAGAACATACAAACAGGTGAGCAGGGTCAGAGGAAACCTGCCATCTTTAATTTTCGGTTGGGATTTGTGCTAATGCTGCTAAGTTTAAGTCAAAGCCAAAACCATACTGCACCAGGAGAAAGTGGGGGAAAATAGAGCTGTCAGAATTCTGTCAAGCACTCAACATCAATTAATATCCTTTTTTTTTCTACAGAGACTTTTGTTTGCCAAGTACTTCAGTCACCTAACTTCAGCTCGCAAGGCCAAGAAATCTGAGATTCCTCATTTCCGCCTTAAAAAAGTCCAGAACATAAAGATGTGGTTGTCTCTCCGCTCGTTCCTCAGGGTTGGTAACGTTTCAGCCTCTGCCGTGCCTGTATGTCAACAGTGCTGCCACTGCAACGCTGTTATCCATTGGTTGGCGTTTGGTAGATGACTTTGTGTCTTGTTTAATGCAGAGACGAGGGCCCCAGCGCTCGGTTGACGTCATTGTCTCCACTATCTTCCTTTTAGCACTCTCCATTTCATTCATCATTTGTGCCCAGGTAAGATTATTATTATTTTTGAAAGAGATTAAGATCTTTGATGTTTTAGGAGCTCAGGTTATGTCTGTCCAAATCATGGCAATGTGTTTGACCTGGGCAGTGGTGGCTTGGTGGTTAAGTAAGCATACTTGGAACCAGAAGGTTGTAGATTTGAGTCCATCACTGGCAAAGTTGCTGCTGAGGTGTGAAGTTGAAGTAATTCATTTTGCTTATAATATTTCTTGGCCAAGAACACAGCGTGCTGTTTTCAAAACACAAAAAGAAAAACCTCACTGTTTTCAAAACACAAAAAGAAAAACCTCTGCACCTACAATTTTCAGAATAAGACATGTTCCATGGTTTTTGCACCACAGCGGCTTTCACAAGGTCAAACATCTATCCATGACGGATAATTTCCCACTGGAATAGCTGTACAGCCCAACAGTGACATCTAGTGTCCCAGAATGAAAATACACCTTTTCCGTGATTAAATCGATTCTGATTCTGAGAAAATCCACCCCAGCGGCAGAACTTGAACCTTATCCCTATAGACACAGATGTTCTGGTTCTTCCTCAGCTTCTGCACAGCCACAAGACCTTCCTGCAGTCTCTGACAAACTGGGAGTTGGTGGTGTGGGCCTCCTCTCTTATCCTCTTTCTTTTGCGCTTGGCCACACTGGGATCAGAGACCAACTGCAAATACAGCAACTCTTCCGTGTTGCTCACTGAGCAGGTGTGGAGGCCCATTGCCACAGAACACAAAACATTTTTTTATCAGTTTAGAGTGACATTCATTGAAGGTTCTTTATTTGTAAAAAAAAAAAACATCCAAAAAACATTTATTTTGCAGATCAATTTGTATCTGAAGATGGAGAAAAAACCCAATAAGAAAGAAGAACTAAGCATAGTGAACAATGTCTTGAAACTCGCCACTAAACTGATGAAGGTGAGTCAGTTTCAATAATCTGTCATCTTTGTGTTTTTTTGTTTAATATTGTTTACTATATATATATATATATATATATATACACACCTATATACACACATACATACCAGTTAGCTTTGACATTTCTCTGGATACAAAAAGGAAACCACTTTTTTTTCCCCCAGGAGCTGGATACTCCGTTCAGACTCCTGGGTTTGACGGTGAACCCTCTGATCTACAACATCACCAAAGTTGTCATCCTGTCTGCTGTGTCTGCTGTGGTCAGTGATCTGCTCGGCTTTAACATCAGAGTAAGTAGAGTCCATCATTGTGTTAACAAAGCACACTCAGTCACATACTTCTACTGTCTGAGAGAACAGTACCCTGGAGAATGTCCAGCTGTGGTATTTTCATACTTACAAGTACACACAATTTCTTTGCTGTTTTATTTTTCATTGACTTCTTAATGATCGTTCAAACACATTAAGTTTGCTTTTTCGTCAAGAGTTATTTACACTGCAGCAGATAAGGTTGTTAATATTAGCCTTTGGTGATAATTCTGAAATTGCTTTGCTTTGGTCATGGCCGTCTGGCCAACAAGCTGTCCATGTGCCTTTTTAGGAAGACCTTCACTTAGAAAACCACTCTGTTACAATAGGGAATTCTTAAAGTAAATATTTTTTAAATCTCTGTTTGTGCCTTTTCTTGGACCAAGAGAGATATCAAATAAAATCTATACCAAATCCAAGCTGTTCTTTTAGCAATAATCATATCAGTGCATCTAAATCTGGCCAAAATGTATTCAGATAATGTTCTTTAAAAAAAAATGCAAACATTGTCACAACATCCTCAAAACCTTTTTGTCAAACAGTGAAATATTAGGAGTAACATCAGATGCAAATATTCTTTATTTTGATTCTTGGTATTAGCAGCATGTAGAGACTTTTTTATTTACTAACATGATTTCTCCACTTTCTCTGACATTGCATTGACTTTGAAAACATATGTTAGTTAATGGATATGTTTTATATTCCCTGAAAAAAAACAAGTGACAGCAATATATGAATCTGATGAAAGTTTCTCATTTTCCAGCTGTGGAAAATCAAGCCTTGAAGTTAAAACAGGAAAACCACCAAGAGTCGAACACTGAAGATATAAATTGCCAATGTTGTCTGCAGGCGTGCAAAGCTACTGACTTTAACTCACTTGGACCTTACAGCTGAAAGAAGTTTCACCACTCCGAAATTTTGGGAAAAAACATCAACAGCTCCTGGAAAATGCTTTGGCTTCATTTTGCACATTTCTTTTTATCCAATCTGTCAACTGATGGCCTGGCCTTTGACTTTTGAAATTAGATTGGACAGACTTCTTTGACATCCAAATGTCCACCTGTGTCTTTTATAGACACACAGAGTAACAGATGTAAATGTTGATGTAAATTATCGTGGCTACAATACTATAAAACTCCTCTACAGACTGTGTACTTTCTTTCCAAGGGCCAGAATGTGAGTACAGCAGGCCTGCTCTCCTTTTATTAGGATTCATTTGAATGCTAACCTTTTGTATTATTTAATAACGTGGAAATATGGTGGCTGTAATTAGTTATTATTTATTTTTGGGTGATCTGTTGTAGCTCTTAAATGTTTAATGGTACCTGTAAACAGTGTCTCTTTCACCACTATGAGCTTTTGTAACTATGCAGAAAAGATTATGACAATGCTAAAAATGTTTTTAAGGTCTATTAAATATTTTTGGACCATTCCTAGTGGTGTTACTTTACTGGTTACTTTCTGAACTCTATCTTTATAGCCCTCTGCTCACTGAAAATGCCATCATAATTTTGTAAAATTTCACAAGTTATATTATGTAAATTATGGTGTTTTTTTTTTACTCCAGGTCACTGTAGGCAAATGAGTGACTATAACATACAAAAAGCTATTGTATACCTTGACTACTGATATCCCTTTGCTTTTTAAAAATAAAATAACATGCAGTCTAACATTAATTTAAAAAATAAATCAAAGTAAAACGTGTTATTCTTTCTGCGTGGCCGAATAACGGTTTCTTTTTTAGGGTGTTTGCGGCTCTTGGTGAATTTTATTTGATGGTAAATTACATAAATTCTTTCAGTGTTGATATGCAGAGCCACTGAATGTGTAATTGTAGTGAGGTGTAAGTAATATCAATATAATGTCTTATAAATACCAGTTAACGTTTATTCTGGTTTTTACGTCTATCCTGCATGTCTACTACAAATATTACGGTAACAAAAGAAGCGAGCTGACGTAGAGGCGCACACCTCCTGCTTGGAAGGACACCAGCCGGCCGAGGTGGCACCTCCACGGAGAAGGACAGTCGAACACACCAACTCGTGCGGAGGCTGCTCTGGATATAAGGCACCGGTGAAGGGCGCAGTAACGGTATATAACTAACGATGTTCTCCGGCATTAACAGGCGCCTGTGTCCGATAGGACAGCTGGCTGTTCATGGGGCAGAAAATAAGGATTATTTTGTAAGGAGTGACTTTGTGTTCTGCTGTAGTACAGGATAATGTTATAAAGGATATTATGGAAGCCAAGTTAGGTTCGTTGCATTTTCATGGTTCCTTGTTTGTTTTTCCCTTTATCATCAGATGATGTTACCATGGAAACAGAATCCCAAATGTCCATAATGAATGCACAAAAAGGCAATTGCTGTGATGCCAGTGCACACGTAACAGAGCTTCTCATTCTGTCTGCTTTTTAACAGAGACAGGAAGACACTCAAAGTGAACCTACCCCAGGTTCCATCATGTCAAACTCCCAGAAGGACAATGGCTTTGCGAACTGTACAGACGCCAAGAAAATGGACCAGAGGACAGAGAAGAAGTGCTGTGAGTAAACACCAACACTGGATTTAAAGTAAATGGCTTTGTTCTGCATGACTGACCCATTGAAATGTCCAAAGGTCCACTGGTAATTTGAGACACCTGTCATTGTTCCTGCAGCACCTGAATTCACTAATTGTTGCGCAGTTGCTATAGCTCCTTTATTCAAAAAAGTGTCAGAGGAAATTAAACTACAAAATAAACGTCAATTATATCTATTTAAGATTTTTTTTCCTTATGTTGTACAAAGGTTGTTTTTCCCAGGTGTTCTGGATCAGGTATCTGCCTAAGATTAAAACTCCCTTCATCAAAGATATAATGTAACTGTATACACTTGACTTGTAAAGTTCACTAAGAGGAGAATAAGACAATGACGGCCACAGACATTTCAGCTCCACAACACTTATATATAGCAACTTACAATACTGCAGGAATTAGTTTATTCAGTTCCAAAATTAATTAAAAAAAAAAAAATTAACATAACAGATACATGGTTGATTTGCATGTGGTATTAGTTTTCACCGTTGTACCATGCCTTTTCTCACCCACGGCATCAGTGGGGTCCTGCCTGAATAAATAGATTAAATATATCGTAATGATGTCATTATGTCTATAGAAAACATCCATAATATGTAGAAATGTAGACTAACAAGCCATTATTTCCAAAATAACTCCTGTAGCCCTAATATCGCCTTTAAGTAAGCAACAAACCCACGAAGCAAAATTCAGCCACATCTGCGATATGATGTACATTAAGAAGCATTAATACTGACATAATAGAACAAAAAATAAACTAATGCTTCTGATTGGTTGGACACAAAATCCATCCTCATCTCTTTCCTTGAGACAAGTTAAATTCCTCTGTTATACAGATAATCTGTGTGTTCAAGCCACTAAGTCATTTTCTACCTCCATCCATGTTAATGATAATCGTCCAGTCCGTCCTGTCGTATTTACGGAATAAGTTTTCATTTGTGTTCATTATCAAGCAGAGAACAATTAATTTTTGAGCATGCAAGTTGCTAGGTGCAGTTTGTCAGATTCTTGACTGTGTTCTCTGACCATCCAATCAAATCACCCAAATCAAAACCTTGCTGTAGGCCAGCTAGAAGGCTTTGCTATGCTAGCTTGATGCCAACCCAGAATCAGATTAGTTGAAGAAACAATCTCATTGAAGACCTTGGGGCAGATTTCTTTCAACCTGGCAACACAAAAATACCCTTTAGGCCAGCAGAGAAGGCTTAGTTGGGCTCGACTGTACACCACTGGTTTTTACACCAGTTTATGTTGTTGTTGTTGTTGTTGTTAAAAAGTAGTAAAGGCCCATTACCCAATGACCTATTTTAGTCATCTAATTATGTAACAACTTTCAGTGAGAATATTTGAACCACTGGGCTACAACATGTTCTGTAATATGTCCTACATCTGTCCTGTACAGCCTGGGCCTCCTACATGACCAATTCTCCAACTGTGATCGTGATGATTGGCCTGCCTGCACGAGGGAAGACCTACATGTCCAAGAAACTCACACGGTACCTGAACTGGATCGGAGTCCCAACCAAAGGTCTGACTTGATATCAGCACTAAATATTAAGAATGAAATTTATTTTACAGTTACAGTTTGTTTGGTGTTCAAACTTTGAATCAGCTCCACTTTTTAAATCCTACTTTTCTATTTGCTCTTGATTTTATGTCTGGGACAAAAGAGAGATTTATATGTGATTATAAGATCACAACTTCCCAAATGTGTCTCTACAAATGACGTCAAACAATAGCAGCATCTCTCCCACCTGTCCTTTTGCAGTGTTTAACTTGGGCGTGTACAGGAGAGAAGCCGTCAGAGCTTATAAGTCCTACGACTTCTTCCGGCACGACAATGAGGAAGCCATGAAAATCAGGAAGTGAGTTCCATACAGTACCATGTCTGTCTAACTCAGTAAAGGATGCTGCAGCTTCTTCACATCAACACCACTTCCCTCTCAGACAACACAGGTGTGGTCCTCTGCAGTTTCCACTGCTGCATCGGTGACTCAGCTGTTTTTTTTGGAGCTGTGGTCAGCAAATGCATCAGTAATTGACCAACACAATTCTGCAGCTCAGGTTGAGAGAGGAATTAAAAAGAACATAACTACTGATTCCTCCAAACAATGGATTCAGTCTTACATATTACTCTTGTGGTCTTACTGGATCAGTTGGTCATGGTTCAAAATGGCCTTGTCCTGCATGACATTATGAAAGTGTGACAGTCACAGCAGCCATAAATTCTGACCTAGATATCAAATCAGCTGCTGCTGTCACTCTGCATGGACAGCAGCCTCACAGGAGCTCACGTCTGTGTCCTGAATCAAACAGCTGCCTGTGTATGACGCTGCAGTGAGGACCATGTTAATCATTATTATATCTATATTAAATAAACTTGATTATTCATAATGAAATCATAGCTGCTGTATAGTTTACCCAGTATAAATTCTCCACACTAAACTGTCTCCTGTCTCTGCTGCAGACACTGTGCTCTGATTGCGCTTCAGGATGTAAAGGCGTACTTGACTGAGGAGGGGGGTCAGATCGCAGTGAGTTCCCTGGGTCTGTCATTTTAAATGTCACATGCAATATTGCTGTGAAGTCCTGTTTCCACAATAAGATAAAGATACAGGATAAATATATTTGACATATTCTGTGGTATAGTGTGTATAAATGTGGGTGTGTACCTGTGTGTTGTTTTTTATCAGGTTTTTGATGCAACCAACACAACAAGAGAACGGCGAGACCTCATCCAAGCCTTTGTGAAGGATAATGCTTTTAAGGTATGTCTGAAAAAAAAGCATTAAAATACATGTCAAATTAGATTACTTCACATTTGCAATAAAAAGTACATTTTTAGTTCATTGATCTGCATTAATTGTGAAAAGAGCAGGATGTGAGATCTGTGCTGCTGTTTTTTATTCCAGCAGTATATTTTGATTCCATACTGTGGGTACTGTACTTGAAGTGACAAATGTTTGAAAAGTTTGGTTCTACAGGAATTATTGGAGAACTGAAATTACATTATATATATATACAATAGTATATATATAATGTTTACTGACAAAGAAACATTAGAGTGTTATGTGTGATTCAGTCAAAAGTTGTTGATCGTTGCATCTGTGCTGCTTTGTTTCCAACAGGTGTTCTTTGTGGAGTCAGTGTGTGACGACCCTGAGGTCATAGCTGCTAATATTCTGGTATGAACTTATGTTACCTTCACCACCAGACAGTGGGGTGCGATCAAACCTCCAACCTCTAGTCGGCATCAAGTTCATCGATAGTTTCTATCACAAACTATTTATATCTTCACTCTCCTGCAGTATTATATACATATTGTTCTGGTCGGTTACACTGGGTGGACCTGACGTGTCTGTTCAACAGGAAGTGAAGGTGTCCAGTCCTGACTATCCTGAGAGACACAGAGAGAGAGTAATGGATGACTTTCTGAAGAGAATAGAGTGCTACAAGGTCACGTATCAACCGTTGGATCCCGATAACTACGACAAGTAGGAACTAAACTCATTTACTACTGTTGTGTACATTCTTACCCCACTGAATTACTTCTGGATTGTTCTGCAGGCACATTTTGCAAACTTTTCCTGAAGGCTGGTATTCCTCCTACAGGGACCTGTCTTTTATAAAGGTGATAAACGTGGGCCGACGGTTTCTGGTGAACCGGGTGCAGGACTACATCCAGAGTAAGATTGTTTACTACCTAATGAACATCCATGTGCACTCTCACTCCATCTACCTGTGTCGGCACGGAGAGAGCGACCACAATGTTGAAGGGCGCATCGGAGGAGACTCTGAACTCTCTCCCCGAGGAAGACAGGTTTGATATCTGCTCCTCTGCCATGATCCTCATTTTATGAAGCACAAAGCCGTACACTCCCAATGTCTAAGGTTTTATTGTCTACCAGAGATTCACCTAGGACAGCAAACACAGCAATGAATAGAAAAATAATAATGTGGCTGTCAATCTTCAGTGTTCAGACCTGGAGTGAAGGATATTAGATTGATACAGTACTTAGACAAAGGGATATCAAGAAAAGGTTATATCACTTTATATTCACTTTTGTGAAGAGGATCCTTGGGAACTTGTACAGATAATTTACTCAGAGGTTAGATGTAAATTAGACATTTCAGTAATGAGTATAAATATCAATTAGAGACAACTCCAGCCAGAATCAGAACAATCAGCTTTGTTTGTCATTGTATTCAACACCGACTGTAATTTGTACTCTGCGATTTACCGATCCCAGAGAGCAGGGTAGTTTTCTGCATGCTAATCACCCCACAGTCCAGCTGGGGCTTATACAATACTGTACAATGTCGACTTCTTTTAAACTCTTGAACATTTTGACTCCACTAATTTTGATTTAGTGATAAAATTATGGTCCATGGGTCATTTTGTCATATTTCTTTTCTCTCTTCCCAGTTTGCCCATGCGCTGCGGGATTTTATCGAAGAACACAACCTATCAGATTTGAAAGTGTGGACGAGTCAACTGAGGAGGACCATCCAGACAGCCGAGGAGCTGGGAGTTCCTTATGAACAGTGGAAGATCCTCAATGAGATTGATGCGGTCAGTAAGTGAAGTAACCACAGTTATAATTCACTGTTGATAATCCACTAACAGGAGGCCTTTTTGAGGCCGATAAATGTTAATGGGACTTCTCAGTAGAAATTAAATTGAATTCCTAAAATTTTTTTAGAATTGAGGTCCGAGTTTTTAGATGAAAATTATTGAAAAATTACAAGTTCAATTAGTTGACAAACCGTTTGATTTGAGGGGTTAAAGTAAAAATATTAAATAAATATTTGCTAGAGGTAACATTTTTTGGAACCTGCCCCTGTTGGATGGGAGTGGAATTGCAGTCAAAACTTTTTTCGTATTCCTTTGTTGTTAACAACAGCTTCTAGTGAGTCTGTGTGTAATCTTTATGTAGCTAACAATATGAAGGAATTACTTTAATATTGGACCAATTATACAGCGATAACAAATGTTAGTTTGTTGGTTGTTACTTCCAGGGTGTTTGTGAGGAGATGTCCTATGAGATGATCCAGAACACATTCCCAGAGGAGTTTGCCTTAAGAGACCAGGACAAATACCATTATAGATATCCAGGAGGAGAGGTGACTGTGATGGCACACTTAAAGACTGATTTTCCAGACTTACACTTTCACTCCTTGGTTTTTCAATAGTTTCCAGTAGCGATTGAAAAAACATTACAATTACATTTTTGGTTTAACAGTCTTACCAAGATCTTGTTCAGCGTCTGGAGCCGGTTATCATGGAGCTGGAGAGACAGGGGAACGTGCTGGTGATCTGCCACCAGGCTGTGATGCGCTGTTTGCTCGCTTACTTCCTGGACAAAAGTGCAGGTTGAACATCATCATTCGTCATCCAGCTTTTTTTTATACACAGAGTTACAACTTGTCTTGTGTTTTTTTTTTTTTATTGTTTCTTCCACAGATGATCTGCCGTACATGAAATGTCCACTGCACACAGTGCTGAAGCTTACACCTGTGGCATACGGTTGGTTATTCTCTTTAATGTACAGCAGGTGTCTCAAACTCCCGGCATGTGGGTCACTTCCCACCTGCTAACCTTCCACATGCGGCCCACACTAAATGTTAATAACAACATAGGGTTTTTTTGTGTCAAACTGTTTTAACGGTTAATCATAACACTGACAGCACTTCAAGTACAATATTTTTAAAAAATCAGGCAGAAAGAAAAGTATGTTTTTTACAGACATTAGTGGACCCCCAGGTCATTTGAGTTTGAGATTCCTACATTGAAGCCTGATGTTCTACCATCTCTTTAAGACTACACTCTACTGTATGTCATTTAAATCTCCTTTCTGTAATGTTTCCCAGGTTGTAAGGTGGAAATGTTTTACCTTAACGTAGAGGCAGTGAACACACACCGTGACCGGCCTTTTGTAAGTTGCTGTGAAACAAACAGAACAGATATAGACATTTTCATAAATGTGCAGTTAATGATCCACAGGTTTAACTATCTGTGCAGCATAATGTTTGTTTCCTCCACTGACACTGGAATAATTCATCAAATAACAAATGTCTGAGCCACACTCTAACACACTCTTGTCTGTTGTGTAGTTCAGTGCAGATGAGTCACAGTCTCACCTCCTCCCCTGTATGTGTGACCCTGCTTCTTTAATGCCCTCAGTCATGTCAGTATGGATGACACTTTATACTGGACCTGGCTTGAGCTGTGGGCTAATGAATGAGCTGATGTCAGTCTTTACTTTGACTGGGGCCCTGGCTGTTCACGCTCTCTTGCTTGGCTGGTAAATACAGATGCACGATGATGTCAGCAGCAAACAACAGAAAGTGATGAATCTTTACATCACTACCTCAACAGTCACCACAGTCACAATTACTGGAAATAACACCTCAGTAAATGAGGGAAATTGTTTTTAGCCTTTTTTCTATTTTTTTCTATTATTATAATTCCTAAATACATTGCAGAGACAGTACAGTAACTAACCCTAATGGCAGTCATTTACACATGTATTGTATTATCTCAATTTAACATATATATATAAAAATACAAAACACAACAGTTGTTGCTGAAAGAAGAAAGTACATTAAGGGCAGGGCTTTAATCTTTATTACTCTGCCATTTCTTTTTACCTGTTGCTGTTACTGAACCTAAAGAGAATGAATGGCTGGTTCTGCTTCAGCGCCATTGGTCGAGTGTCCCCTGGTTGTTGTCTGTCCCCCCCCCCACCCCTAACACCTGCAGCATTTCATTCATCTCCTACCAGGGTAAAATCTCCAGGGATACCGCTCCCTTACCTCGGAGGAATAGTTACACCCCCTTGTGCAGTCGCGACCAGATGAAGCGTCCCAGGCTCTACAGCGCGGGCAACGCACCCTGGCTACCGCTCGCTCCCACTCCATCAGCTCTGCTGCCAGATGGACGGCAAAGCCAAGTTAGTGAAAGAGTCTCAGGCTCCCACTTCAAATTAGCCCCTGTCCAACTCTAATCCGTCAACTCTCACCACAGTTTTCTATTCTGTGTCTCACGTCCCCTCACCTCAGTGGGTCCTGTTGTTTATCCACTGTCTGGTGTTGAAACTGATATTCATGGAAATCATCTCTGCTTGTCTCTGTGTCTCAGAGGGGGCACAGTGGGGGAGACTACAGGGAAGGCATGTCTGTGTGTGATGTTTGGTTGGTTTGGTGTGGTTTCTTTCTCTTAATGACTTGACCTTCAGATGTTTGTCTTGCATGTTCTCAGCTTCACCACACGTCTGCCTCCAGCTTGAACATGCAGAGCAGCAAGCATGTCTTCTATTGGCTGAGGAAAGGTCCAGATAAAAGTAATGATGTGATAGTGAAGGAAAATACACAAACATACAGTATAACTGACAACGGAACTTCATTGACGTTATGAATATGATTTTAAACAAAGTAAAATAGACAAAAGTGGAAATAGACAAAAAAAAAATTAATAAACCCTGTATTTGTTGTGTATTTGTTGGGTTATGATGTGTGCACAGTGCATCAGCACATCTCCACATTTCTATCTCTCTCTCCTTCTTTCTCTCTCCATTTTCTCCGACCCGTTCTTACAGCCATGGATAGGAAGCAGTTGTCTGTGAGTATTTTTGGAAAATTTGTAACAAAACCTTAATTTTCTTTCACGCAATTCAACCCATGTCATCCTGAAATGTGTCATTATGTGTTGGAACCGTCTGGTCCTTTGTGTGTTTTGTGTTCTAAATTTGAATCATGATCTTGGGTCTGTTGTTAGTTAGTGGTTGAAAATATGATTACAAGAAAATCTCCTTAGATAATGCCAAAAGAGTTCTATGCATTTTAATGGTTATTTCAGAAATGAAACAATAAAAAAGCTGAAAAAGAATTAACAGTAAAAGTGCTAAAGAACTGTCTGGAAACGCTCCACCACACTTTACATGTTGAACTCATTTTTATGTTTTTTTTTTTCATGGAAGATTAAGACTCCAGGGTGGCCAAGGAAGTTATTAGTCTCCACAAATAGCCCTCAGTGCAGTGAGAAATTTAATTATAAAGATTAATGATTTTTTCTTTCTTTTTTAAGGAGTTCCTGTGTGAAGATATCGACTTTGACAGCCCAGAAGAAACTAGTGGTTGTGTCCGCTTCTGAGTAAAGACAGGGACGAAGACAGTTCTACATGGAACTGTGTCGGCAGGTGGTTCTGGTGAAGGCAAATTCAACGATAGAAGGAAATATATTTTTGTATTGGTTTATTGATGTTTTTGGTTGATAATGTCAGACTGAGTGAGGGGTTAAGGAACTCTTTATCTTTCCTAACAGTTTTTGTTTCAACGTTCTGTTTTTCTTGTTTTGCATGACTAGGCCTTAATCTTGACTCTTGACTGATTATCATTAGTATCATAAACTGTTTTGCACGTGCACTGTAGGAAATCAATCTAACAACCAACAGCAGATGTTAATTATTAACACAAACAAGATGTAAATCTAGTTGTTCAAGCACATACTACATGCCATCATAACTTCTGCATTATGCATACACTTGTACAATGTATAACATACAAACCAAATCTAAAGGAGATTAAAAACTGTTAATGTTTATCACTTTGCTATAAAAGCCTTATGTTATTTTCAGAAAAGAAAATGTATCAGATTGGTTAAGCATTCTGAACTAAATAAAACAGATATTTGGTATAAAGTGTATTAACACTGTGTCAAGGAAATGATTTTGTCATGAAGTTAAAACTTTTTATCTTGATATTTTAAGAGTAACGAACAATAGTGTAATTGACATGTTGCAACAGCAAAAGCGGAATTGAAAACTAAAAACATTGGAATTATAAGTATTTTAAGCAGTGTATTTACTTTTGGGGGGATATGACATAAATAAAAGTTTAAAAACATAAACACTGATGACACATCTGGGTCCTTTGAAGTTTTAGGACCTCTCATATTTACATCAGGGGTCTTACTTTATTCTCCTATCACAGCTCAACCAGAGATTCGATTGTCTAAACTGTGGGGCGCAGAAATGCACAAAAGTGTGCCTTCGACAAACGACAAGAAGAAAAAAATAAGAAAAGCATGAAAATCGAGACGCAAACAGGAAAAAACAGGGGAAACAGAAGCAGACTCATTTTTCTGAAAGCACCAGAATTTCATTAAGTACATCTCGTCGCTAGAGAGCGGTAAAGTGCTGAGCTCAACCCTTAAGGACCAATCTACAAGTGGCGTAATGACGTCATAGAGACGTCGGCACGCTGCGTACATCGATTGTTTGAAACAGGCTGCAGTCAACAAAAGGTAAGCAGGTGACGCGCAGCACACTACTTATAATGTTTAATAAATTAACTAGTTTGTTTTACATTTGTCTCAAAGCTCCATTTACGATGTATTCTAGCTTTACTCCAAAGCACATACAAAATCGGAAAGCGATACTTCAGCTAGCATGCTAGTTTTAGCCGATGATGACAACGACAACGATGATAACTATTGTCTTAGTATATTATTGCCTGAGTTTCGGTAGAAGATAATTATCTGACATTATAAAAACAAACGGCTTTAATACACTGATATTGTGACGTATGACAAGAGCTGTTTGCCAAGTTGAGAGCAAACTAGCATAGCATGTAGTATTGCACTGGCCACCACCATAACAAAGAAATTAAAACAAAGAAATGTCGCTGTCAGGTGATTTCGCTCTGTTGTTCTTGTCCGTCAGCATTTTTATTTGTTGCACTTTGTCGCTCATGCTGAATACAGTGGTTATAACAAAAGCCTTTAGAATAAAGGCAGCTAAAGTTAGCCAAAAGCTAATATGGATACAAGAACAAGCTGTCAAACACTTCATTATTCACTGTTGATTTGTGTAGTTTTCGCTTAGGAACAAGGCTTTAAAGCGACGATATTGAAAGATATAGTATTATAAAAATAAATATGTTGTTTTTATTAGGATTGTTTTGTTTAAATGTGTCATTTTAAGGCAAATCAGAGTAAAACACCACACATACTACCAAAGAGAAGCACATGTTTGCCTCATTTAAATATTTGTCGTTTTTCAAAGTAAAAGTATTTTGTTATACAGTATTTAGTCTGCTTCAACATTTTTAAAGAAAGCATAATAACTTCTAGTCACATCTGATTAGCAAGGGACATATATTTTCTGATTGATTTTTATTAAAAATATATTTATATATTGTTGATTAAGTAAAAGCTGAAAACCCCACTTTCATACACTCTTGAACTAAATGTGGCAGTTTTATATAGCTTTTAAACATTGTTTATGTTTTATTCATTTTACTGCAGTCCTCCTTCCTTGTCTTTGTTAAAATCAATAAAGCTTTTCTGCAGTCTTCCCTTTCCCCTACTTTTGTAGTTGGTATTAAATGGCATTATAGATAATGTTGCATTTTTGCGTTTCTCAGATTCTCTTGATTCTTCTTACATTACTGAGTACCTAGTACTGCCTAACCCAGACGTGACTCGCGGGGCACAATTATCCTAAAATTAAACAGGGGGCCGGATCAGGAGCAGATAGATGGAGCGTTCATGTGATCTAAGATAAATGACATGTAAAAGTCATGCATACTGTATAGTCTTAAATGCTAAAATGTTTTTATCATTTTCTATGCCATCTATTGGGGAAACGTGGGTATTGCAGGGAAAAGGCAGAGGTATAATGATAGTATAAATAAATGATTACAAGTTTGACATGCTGGATTAAAAAGCAGAACGGGCCACATCTGGCCCCAGGGCCTTAGTTTGCCCATGCCTGGCCTAACCCTTTACCTTCATCCTACTTGTTTTTTTCTGTCCTGCTCTTTCTTGTGGATACAACTTGTTTTATTTAAATGCCAATGACCATACGACACATGTATTGTTTGACTATTGGGAATGGTACTTGTCTCCAGGGTAGAATGTTGAGGCTTCGCTGCAAGACCAAAAATGGGAGCCACATAATGCAGGGCTTGACTCATCAGTCCTGTGTCAAAGAGCTAAAAAGCAAGGTGGAAGAGCTGACGGGAATCCCATGTGATGTTCAAAAAATTATGGTTGGATACCCACCATCCAGCCTTGATCTGAGGAATGGAGATGCTCACCTCAAGGATTACCCAATAAAATCAGGTAGGTTGTGGACACAACAAACAAAGTCATATTGACACATTATTTTCCTGATGTAAACAATACTCTACCTACTATAAGAAGTGAAAGTTACTCAATGCTGAATTACATGAGTGGCTCTCTGCTGATGTGTGATTTTTCACAGGAGACACACTCATTGTTGAGGAAGACAAAAACAAACCAAAACCTCAGGATCATCATCCCACTGTGAATAAAGCACCACACTTGGAGGTCTCACCTGTGCTGGCGCGTCGCGGGGGTCCTGCTGGAAAACTCCGCCCCTTCCCCCGCGTGTTCTCGCTGGG